TGAAATGAGCTTTGTTTTCTAGACTTTTGGCAGTGTATCACGACACAGTTTTGGAGAATAAAATTTCATTGAATCGATTGGTCAGTTCAATTTGATTGATGATTTGCCGTAGCGCTAAACAGGCTTCCCAGATAAAAATAGACTGCGCGCGTGATTTTCCTTCGTATAAATTTTGCCCTTTATTGATAAACAAGTAATCCCATGAGACCTCGTACTATTAAGGATTAATTGCGCTTGAGTTTTCAAATTTTCCAAATTGCCCTCGTCGCTTCGCGACTCGGGCAATTTTGGAAAATTTTGAAAACTCTCGTGCAATTAATCCTTAATAGTACTTGGCCTCATGTGATTACCTATACTAACCAACATTTATAGAGACTATAGCAGTGATTTGTCTGATCGTCGGTAATTTGCAGATATACAACGATTGTGTAGTGTTTGCGATTTAACTGCTACTCAGGAACTACGTGAAAGTGGGCGATGCCAGTAGTGGCCTTGATACCATCATGATAAACTAATTTTTTCCATTATATGCGTTTAACGATTTCGTCGAAAAGGATAACCTTTCAAGGTAAATTCATTACTTCGTCCTCTGTACATTTGGCTCACTCCTTAAGCATACCCCAAGGTGCCCTTTATGTTCCTATTACGGTTCTTACGTGTTTCCCCTTAAGATTATGTTAGAAATAATTGAGCGTTCCCTCTCACCTGTTCGAGCGCGAATGGTGAATCTACAGTCAAATTCACAACCAGGGAACATAATGTCTGCCTGTAAATGCTTTACAGATTTTAGAACCAACCATCCTTTGCACCGTAACCGTGTTGCTTCATCTTCAAAATAAATCTCCTCCAGACGGTTTTTAAGGTCACTAGGAACGCTTTCCAACCCACTCTTGACTTTATAGTTCGAAACCCATACCTGCATGATAGACAAATGTGTTAAAAACTACATCAGATTCTTTAGGAGACCGTTGTTTTCAAGCTTGTAATGAAATAACTTGTTTATCTGCAAGGTAGAGGGTTATATTTGAAACCAAACAGGTATATAAGCGGCAGTCGCGTTATTTTTTGGTCTCTATCTACTGTTGTTATTATTATTATTATTATCATTATTATTATTATTATTATTATTATTTTTATTATTATTATTATTATTATTATTATTATTATTTTTATTATTATTATTTTTATTATTATTATTATTATTATTATTATTATTATTATTATTATTATCTCTTTTATCACAGTCTTTGCTGGTGTTCTTTTTGTGCATCAGCCGGGCGCAAACCATGCACCTAGAGCGTCAGTCACTCAAGTCAATCATTCTGTTCATACACTGAGCACCTTTCTGAGGATTTGCGCAGATCCCAGCATGCAGATCTTTTGAATCTCTGTCATAGTAGCTCTCTCTGATACTTTCTTGATGTTGTTATTATTATTATTATTATTATTATTATTATTATTATTAATGGGAAAGGAGTGCTTGATGCATCATAGCCGTTTAGCACAGCTAATTTCCATCAAAAGAGGGGAGCAGTATGCCAAAACCAATCTCACGGATCAGAACCAGAAACTCATTCGCACTCTTAGGTTCTGCGTTAGTTTGTCTTAGAGGCTCTAGGACAGGAAGAGTGCCATGTGACATTAAGAATGTTGATATTGACGTCGAAGTCGTTGAAGGAGCCATCCAATAGCGACTATTGATGTGTTTCCTTACTTTTAAATGTTTTTTTATTGATCTCTTAATGTTAAGTTACGTCTTTTTATCGGGAATTTGTTACGGAAAATAAACACCAATAGATTCATATCTCGCCTCATGGATCAGAAACTTATCCGTATTATTTACGTTTATGCCATCCACTGGGACTTTTGACTTGTGATTTCTTGGAATTGTAATTGCAAAGGGGTTTTCCCGGAATTTTGTATTGATATTGACGTTTTCTTTTTTAAGAATATTTTACTGAAGTTTTGTGTGCAGCTTTTTATAAGTATAGTGTAATAAACTATTATTAGAGCATATTATTATTATTATTATTATTATTATTATTATTATTACTATCATTTAATTTTAGTGTTTGTCTGTAGAACAAACAGATATAACTGTAAAGAAATTTTCTTTCACGACGTTTTTTACTCAGTCCATAAGCTTGTCAAACCGACAATATACCATCGCTCCTTTTTATTAGTACACGCACGGTTTATAGAGAAGATAAGTAGTGAAATTGGCTACGTGATGTTTGTGGTACACAACGTCCTGGAGTAACAGAGAGCAATTCTAAGGCCAGGAAGACAAAGGAAAGAGAAAGCTTTATAGAAGACATTTTCTGGGAACAATGGCACTTTCAGTTTGAAAACAAATATAAATTAACTGTTTACAGATTAGAATACTCCCCATTAGGGACGGACCATTAGAAAAGTGATGGGGGGGGGGGGGGGGGGGTTTTTGGCTCGCGATATTTTTTTTTTTGGGCCTAGGTGCCGGTGCAAAAATGTTTTTTTTATGTAAAACCCTTTTTACGATTTTTTTTAGGAAAAAAATTGTTCCTTCCCTTTTTTCATTAAGTTTTTTTTAAATTTAGTTCTTTTATTTTTTTTTTTTACATATTTTTAATTTAAAAAATGGATTTTTATG